TTCCAAGGAGACGGGAAGACTCGGAGATGAAAAATAACAAACATTGCTGACTCAGATTTCTTTTCCTAGTCCGGAAGAGAAAGAAATGGGCAAATTTAAATGAGCGGAAGATTCTGAAAACTGTGTACATCAGGACCATCCTGCGCGGTGCTTATGTGACATTTGACGAATCTGAGTAGGCCAAAGTCTAAGTTGATTGAAAATGAAAAGATCTTCCCAAATGGACCGGGTGGTTCGCAGGCTTCTGAATGCCATAGGAGGCGACGAAGGTCCTGCCTAATTCTCTTATCTTGGCCCAAGCCTCTTCCATTGTTTGACCCCAAATGATGCCCGCATCATCAAACAATGGAACGGCAGGCTTGATCCGAACCTACTTTATCCTTGGAAAAGGCAGTTGCAGGATCATCAAATCCTCTGTTTCCGGAATCCAAGGCGATATTTTGCCTCAGGTGTCATATTTAGGGAGATTTCAGGTACCCTCATGGCATATTTAGTTTACATGCTGTTTGAACTGCAAGAGCATTTACTTTTCCCTTGACGGAGTTTGCGGCACAACGGCGGCCATCAATCATCAGTTGATTCCATCACTCGTTTAAGGCGTGGTGCTCCGGGCTTGAATACTCGCTCAGTTTCCGCCTCAGGCCCCTATCCGAATTTGGGCATTATTCTCGGCAGCCTTGGCATTCCATCAAACATCCTTCAGAGGCTTCCACGGCGGCAAATGCATTGACTTTTGGTGAGAATTTTCATTGTATTTGTGAGACTGATAATATGTTACCTGTGAATGAACCAGAACTAATAAAGCAGCTCTCAACCCTGTCTCAACATCCTTGCACTCGAGAGTTATGAACGCGGAGGCAGTGGGACTGACGTGATCGGATCAAATAAAGAAATATCAAATGTCAAGAGGCGCGCCGGTGCAAAAGCGACGGGCACGCGATGGCCCAGGCAATTAACGTTAATTAACTACCACCGTGGGTGAAAGTACTGGCTGTATTAATTTGCAGAATAGAGAAGGGCAAGGAGAGATTTTTTTGGTGAGTTTGATCGTTGACAGGGAAGTTTGATGGATTTGATGGAGTGCCGAGGCTGCCGAGAATCATGCCCAAATTCGGATAGGGGCCTGAGGCGGAAACTCAGGAGTGGGCTTGAAGGCAGGGGTTGGGCCTAGATCAATTGAGCCGCGTGACGGTTTGTCCATGTTTGTTCTCAAGTAATTCTTAATCGGGACGGTGCACACTGCTCATCGAGGTCCGACTAGCTCAGTGAAAAATCCAGCTATCAAAATTCTGTCATAACGTAACACAGTTTTGAGAATTCCAAGAAGATCTGTCTCCTAGATTTTTTGATCCATTTCATCATCATCTCGAAATCATGAAAATGCCAGCCACTCAATTTGGCCCACAGAATGATGGTTCTGTCGAGATCTCGGCATAGAACCAAAATCTGGGAATTCTATCATAAGATAACACAGATAATATCCATTGGTTTTGAAATGTTTCTTCAGATATTTTTTATCTCAACAATGTGGCCCGAAACCGTGGAAATCGCGGCTCCCCGCCAAATGTGCACATCTTTACAGTGTTTTCCAAGTATCTCGCTTGTTACTTGGAAAATAGGAATTCCAGCATAAGAAAACACGGAGGAGGAAATTCTCTACATGATTGCCTCTTCAGATTGGCGAAAAACCACGAGGGGACCGAGCAATTAGAGAAACGTGCCGTGTACCGCTGAGTTTGATGCTGCATCGAGTAATTGATGGGATCAAGAATCACGCGGCTTCATCGGACTAGGCTCAACCCCACAAATTTAAAATTAAAATTAAAATTAAAATTAAATGACAATGACAATGAAGGTGATGGCACAGGGTAAGGCTGTGCCAGCGCGCAGATCGCTATCATTTACGCGCCTCTACGCGGCATGAGCGCCCACAGACGTCCAAGTGACTCAATCTGATTGCAGCATTGCACAAGCCCTTCACGTTCTACACAGCAATTCCGCAGACTTCTCTCGCGCCTCGGCTCCGGAATCTTGTGCTGGCTTGGCAGGGGTATTTAGTCAACTGGGACTGGTACTACGTGGCCTCGCTTGCGCTTGACTAGACCAGACTAGACCCCCCATGCCCGTATCATTCCCAGTTGCAACACATCCGGCGCAACCGTTCCAGTTCCTCAGCGGTCGGAATGGCTATACCGCAGAGGAAGCGCTTGCCATTGCATGCAAGGACCAGCACGCCAAAGCTGGCGAGATTCTGCAGTTCTCGCTCGAGTCGCTCCCTCCGGGGAGCGATCCGAACGTAGCGTACGTCTCGCAATGTCGCCTCCGCGATGGACTGACGATTTACGGTCTCCTCAGCGGGCGTAACACCGGCGACAAGATGACGAATCTTGTACCGAATCAGAATGGCTTCGTCGCGACCGTCCTGGAGGCGTACACCAAGGACCGCGCGCTCGTGATCCGGCCGGAGGACGTCTGGCTCGCGATCTTATGCCAGTTCAACTTCTTCGTCAGCGCGCGGGCGGAGCTCCTGCGCGCGAACTTCGTCGCGCACGAGGGCAAACGCGAGCTCACGCTCGTCGTCAACCGCCAAGGGGTAACCCGCTCCAACGTCGATTTCGGGGACCTCGCGCATCAGATGACGGGCCTCATCGAGAAGAACGTCGTCGATCCGGCGCTGCGCGCATGGGCTATCCCCGACTTCACAACGACTACCGCCAACGACACTACCGTGGGCTCCGTCCTGCTCATGGCGACGCTCAAAAAATACTTCTCGTACAAGATCATGCTGTGCGGGTGCGGCATCCCGCGCGTGACGCTCGAAGGGGAGAGAGCGGACTGGGTAAGCATCCTCGACCGGCTCGAGAAGCTCAAGGAGTACGGGCTCGAGACTACGGCGTGGTACCACCTCCTCCGCCCCGTCATTACCCGCTTCGTCGCCGCGTTCGATGCCCCGGAGAGCGCGGCCAACGTGGATTTCTGGCAGCGCGTCGCGCATTATACGCCCGGTGGCAGCGGCCGCGGCGACTACTACACCGGGTGGATCACCGCGTTCACCGTTTTCAGCAATGAGGGTGAATGGCTGGGGCATCGTCTGGACGCGGTACGTGTGCATATATTATAACTCGGGAATAACACTGATTTGCCACTTAGGCGCGTACAAGCACCGCCGCCGCCCCGGAGACGCTCACGGCTGATGAGTTCTGGGCGACCTACATCCCCAACCTTCGCATGGACGCCCGCACAGAACTCGTTTTCGATGGGACGCCCTACCACCGGCTTTACGGTCGCAACTCGGCCCCCCCGGGGTACGGCGAGGTCGACGTCAAGCTCGATGACAACGGGAAGTTGTTCGACTGCGTAATGGTCGCGGGCAGCATCGGCACGCGCGTGTGCTCCAGCGGCGACCGCACGCTGTCTGCACGCGGCGTAGACGACACGCTGCGGCCTGTCATGGGGTGGTGGATTTTCGTCAAGGAAGAGGATGGAATGGAGGAGAGAGCCAAGGCCGCGTCCAGCCGTGGTGGTGGTTGGGGCAGGGCGACCCGCTTCTAACAGAGATGATGCAGATCCGGTAGTCGGCCGTCGCATTGTTTGTAGGAGACATATACCCTCGTTCGAGTGGAACCTGAATATTGATTCAGCAATGTCTTGATAGTTCTCTATCCCTGCTCGTTCGAGGCAATTTTTTCTGCTCAAACCAAGTTCACAGGTATGAGCCGAAGCCCCGGTGGCAGATCTTCCGCGCCTGTTAAAAATTTGACGTGCACGGTGTATTATATACTCGCGTGGTCCAAATGGCTGAACAACGAGTCTACCGAAGACAAACAAACAGTAATTGTATGGGTGATTTGTCGGCTTTCTCGTGACTTTCCCCCCCCCTTCTGCAGGGTCACAACGACCATTCAAATATTCAAAGGCTATCCTAGTCAGGTTAACAGGTAGAGGTGGAAAGCCCGGTGGCGGATGGTCCACACCTGCATCTCATATGTGCAATCCGATCGGATCCGTCTGCAGGAATTCACTCGTTCGACTCGAGCCTAGGCCATAGACATGATTGATCCCGTTTTTGCCACCGGAAGCTCACGAAATGATCCTCATTTAACCGGGCTCGTAGGAGGGCACCAGCCATTGAAAGATTAAATAGTATTCTGCCGAGGTTAAATAGGTAGAGGTCAAAAGTCCGGTGGCGGAGGTCTGTACCTGCGCCTACCACCGAAGGTATCTGCGGGAGTCGTTAGTTTGGCTCGAGCCCGGGTCATGTCTTGTTCGTTAATTTTTCATTTTTGGTAGTGTTACACCAATCATCCAAAGATTATTCTGCCTAGGTTAAATAGGTACTTAGAGGTGAAAGCCCTGTGGCAGATGGTCAGCGCTTGCACTTCATACAATCTGAGATGGGTCTGCCGCTCGAGTCGAGCCTGGGCCATGTCGTGGTGATAGTAAAGGATGTTTTCCTCCAGGAAGCTCACGAAATCATGCTAGTTTAACCAGGCTCGTAGGAGAGGAAGGCCCGGTAGCGGGTGGTCTGCCCGTCTTCAAAATTTGTGTGGGTTTAGGAAATTCCCGCGGGAGTCGCTCGAGGCTGGGCCATGGGTCTTGACTCTAAAATCCATATTTTTTTCTCCTTTAACACCGAAAAAATTGCAAGGGACCACTTATCCATAAGTCTCCCGACATGAGAGGAAGGCCCGGTGGCGGATGCACAGCGCCTGCACATGATATCTGATGTGGGCAATTCATTAGCAGGAATTCGCTCGTTCGAATTTAACCGATATTATGTGACATTTATTTCGGACGCTCACGATCTCCTGGCCAAGTTAGATAGCTAGAGGTGAAAGGCTTAGTGGCGGACGGTCCGCACCGGCACCTGATAAATTAGTTCCAACCATTGTCTGCAGGACACAGTCGTTTGACTCGGGCCTGGGCCATAGCCTGTAACAATTTCCCTGGAAGCTTAGAAAATAGTGCTAGTTTAACCAAATTTGCAGGTCAAAGAGGAAGGCCCGGTAGCGGATGGTCCGCGCCTGCACTTGGTGTGGTGATTCCCTCCTCTTCTGTGCAGGAACTCGCTCGTTCGACTCGAGCTCGGGCCATATGATAGTGAGGCTCGTTTTTCTTCCGCGGTGTTAAAATCCCCGTCCAAGGCTGTCCTGGGCAGGTTCATGGGTACAAGGAAAGGCACGGTAACGGATGGTCCGCGTTTGGTCATACTAATTTGATGTTCGCTCTGAATCCCTATTAATGCGGAACTCGCTCTTTCGAATCGAGCCCGGGCCCTAGGGAAATACCAGCCTTGTACATTTTCCCTCGGAAGCACCCAAAATTCTTCCAGCGTAAAGGTTCAATTCGCGGCTGGGCCAAGCGTCAACGTTATTGTTTCCTGCGCGCTCTGTTTCGGTATTATAGATGATTTCCGGTGGCCTGTTATATCCTATGGTTGTGTCGAATGTTGAGCCCCTCGTACAAATCCAACGGTTGCGCGGCCCAACTTGCCGACCCGACACGGATCGGCAATCGCTCGGCAGACGCGTCAACAGGCGTCAACATCGCCCATACAAAGCACGCGCCGTTTGTTGATATCTTCTTTCTCTCTAACCCCACCACTACCGCCGTCGTCGTCGTTCACCGAGCGACCACCCTCAAGACTTTCTACCCTCCCCCCAGCAACTCATCGCATAACATGTCTGGCCGTGGAAAGGGTGGCAAGGTGCGTCTCTGTATACTGCTCGATGTCGTTTGGTGTCTGACTCGTCGTCTCGCCGGTGCAGGGACTCGGCAAGGGCGGAGCTAAGCGCCACCGCAAGATTCTGCGCGACAACATCCAGGGTGCGCACCCTCTCCTCGCTCCCCGCTCAGCGTGTCTGACGCACTCGCTACTACCCAGGTATCACCAAACCCGCCATCCGCCGTCTCGCCCGCCGTGGAGGTGTGAAGCGTATCTCGGGGCTCATCTACGAGGAGACGCGCGGCGTGCTCAAGATCTTCCTCGAGAACGTCATCCGCGACTCGGTCACCTACACCGAGCACGCTAAGCGGTGCGTCTGCGTATCGTCCACTTCCCTCTTCGTGTGCTCATCGCCCTGCTCGTCCCCAGCAAAACCGTCACCGCGCTCGACGTCGTCTACGCTCTCAAGCGCTCCGGCCGCACGCTCTACGGTTTCGGTGCATGATTCCTTTCTGGGGTGAGTCCATGTCAAATCTCCCGCGGGCCCTTGCTGATCCCTCCTGCACACAGACCGCCCTCCTCCGCTTCCTCATCGCCATGTATCTCTATAAGTATCTCTGTACACGTATCCCCGTATCGTACGCGCCCGCCCATGTCCATCTATTACTTATGGTCAATTATGAGCTCGTCCCCGCCGGGACACCCTATTCATCCCTGTCGTCGCCGTTGTCGCCGGCTCCGAATGTGCGCCCGCTGATGACTCCCTGTCGTGGCTGTGTTTTTGTGAGCTCGCTGCTTGGCGCCCGTACGGACCCTCTGATGCGCCTGAGGCTGTGCCCCGGCAACTCCCGATGTCCCGATTTGGCTTGGAGCTATAACCTTCTCTCGTGCCTAGCTTGGAATCCGCTCAAATGTCACCACTGGTACTTTGCAGTCTCATCTGCGACGCCGTCTCGCTGTTTCATATGATGCGCCTGCGTGCTCTCGCCAGCTCACATGAAGCGACGCGCCGGCGGGAGGATACCAACTCAACTATGATAATCAAGCCCACGCTGACTCCTGGCACTCCTACTCCATTTCCGCGATCCTTCCGCCTGTAGCGCCATGTTGAAAGCTACTCCCTTGCATTCGATTTATCCTCATGTTGCTCTCGTCCAGCGGGATCTTGGGCCATGCTGAATTTGACGGGTTTTGCAGCCCTGAGTTCCCGCGCACGCTGATTTCGCTTGTGGTGCATGCTGATTTCTCGCGCGCATGGTCATCTCCTCAGCCTCCTCGTCCCGGAGTCTCCAATTTCGAGGTGGCCTGGTAGCCGTTCGATTTGCGCTAATTCAATCCGCACATAAAACTCTCGCCTTCACGAAGCCCTGACGCGCGTCAATTCTTGGAGCCTGATTTCAAGGGACGAATCCGCATGCGCATTTGGGGGATGGGTGAAAGAACCTGGGACTCTGGGAGTTCAGAGGTGACTTGGAGAAAATATCCGAGGACACCCGCGCATGCATGGGGTTGTTCGACGCAGCTATTCTCAGAAATGAACACTAAACAAGGCGACGCTTACTGTATTGTGTGCACATCCCTCGAACGCAAGTACCTATGTATACTATCAAACCGGTCATCAGCATCCCGAAACCGGTCGCACGGGAGGCCGAGGCCGGCCGCGCGTCGCGCTCCGGGCAGCAGCGGCTGCTTGGAATGAATGAATGACTCGAGAGTTCGACGTTTTCCACGGTACCAGCCGTCTCCGAACCTGACTCAGGACTCGTCTCCACATACTTGTCGCGACGCGCTTTCGAAATTCCCCTGAATTAACGCGCGCTGGTCCGATAATATAATCCCTGGCGTCTTCGGAGAACAAATCTACTTGGACGGAGATTCACTACCTCTGCCCGATCCCTTCCCCACCTAAATCCGAGTCCGACTCTGAATCTATGCGTACCAGAGGCGACTATGTATTAGCAAAGAGATTCTGAACTCTGGCTGAAGTAAACCGGGATGTGGCACGATTTCAACCACCGTCAATACTTGATCAAGATGAGAGCTGCTGCAGAAGAAATCGTCGCTGTGGGCGCATGCAACCTACTCGGCACTTTATGTCGTGTAGCCTACACTCGTCCCCACTTGGTTGGCGCGGCTGATAATCTGAGCCTCGAGGCCAACATTATTAATGGTGGTCGACAACCCTGCCGGAAATGAAGATATCGATTTGTCGTCACTGGATCCGGCTGGGCCGCATACTAACCGACTTGTTGAGTCACCACAAATTTGTTTGAGATTTCTCAGCTCGCTGATGCCCGGTCGTCGGAATATCCTGCCGCCCTCGCTTCGCCGTGGTCGGTGACAAGAGGTGAGAGGTACAGTGTTGAGAATGGGCGAAGGCTGTACCACCCGCGGCCCAAGATCACGAGGCATCTTATACAAATCTTATGACGCTTATCCCAAGCCGGATTACTATAAATCGACTGGGAGTGCTGCGACATACATACCGTTTCCACCATGACCTTACCCACATTCTCATTCACCACCACCGCCGAAGAGGTCGCCAGCACCTTTTCTGAACAAATACGAGGCAAAAACGGTGAATGGTCCAACCCAACCAGATGCATATTTTTAACACGTCGCAGTCCTGATAACAGGGACGTCCCTTAACGGCATCGGCTTCGAAGCAGCCCGCGTTATTGCCAAGTACGCCAACCTTGTCGTCATGACGGGATACAGCGCGGAGAGGTGGGTCGCCGTTGAAACTCCCATTTTTTTCATATTGCTGAGTTGACCGGTCGGCAGACTGAAGCTATCAGAAGAGGCGATGAAGAAGGAGCTCCCATCCGCCAACATCCGCCCTCTCGTGCTCGATCTCTCGTCGCTAGCCGCCGTGCGCACGGCTGCTGCCGAAGTAAACGCGTATGCGGAGCCGATCCACGTAAGCTGTTCTATTTTACCGTCCCTGCACACCGTCGAGCTACTCGCAGATTTTGATCAACAACGCCGCTGCCGCTGGAGGGCCATTCGAACTGAGCGTAGATGGCCTCGAGCTACAGATGGCTACGGACCACGTCGGTCCCTTCCTGCTCACAAAACTGATCGCTCCGAAGCTTCTTGCCGCCGCGACCGCGACCTTCACGCCCCGCGTCGTATTCGTCGCGAGTTCGGCCCACGCATTCGGCACTGGCGTCGATCTCTCCACAGTCGCACACCCCGATCCGGCGAAGTATGACCCCATGGGCGCATACTCCCAAGCCAAATCCGCAAACATCCTCACGGCAATCGAGTTCTCCAAGCGCTCTCGCGGGAAAATTAATGCGTACAGCCTGCACCCGGGAAGTGCGTTCTGCCGCGCAATAATAGGGTGTGGCGGCTGCGACTAACTCGATACTTACAGCGATCGTTACAAACATGATGCAGAAGCCAGCGACCAGGGCTGATCTGCAGGCGATCGGTACGCTGGTCATCTTTTTTTTGGCTTCGACTCCTCACGCGGGGTTCGTTCAGGCTTCCTCGGTGCGGATGGCCAGCCCAGCACCGATAAGGTGCAATGGAAGACGATACCGCAAGGGGCTGCAACGTACGTCACCGGCGCTCCGAACTTGAATATAGGGTTTTGATTTTCCTACCGGTTAGCACTGTCGCTGCGGCCTTCGACACGCGAATCGAAGGTTAGCGGAATATTCGACCGACCGCAACTTCTTTCTGATGTATATTTGCAGACAAACCTGGCGCATATCTAGATGACGGTACCGAAGCGAACGCCAAGCTTGCAGCCCACTGCGCTGATCCCGTAAGCAGAGTTGAACTATTCCTCGAGCACTGGCTCAATTCTTGCTGCAGGGAAATGCGGAAAAGCTGTGGAAGATCACGGAGCAGATCATAGGAGAGCCGTTCACGTTCTAAATCGTTCATGCAATATTTCCTGGGAACATGGTCACACAGTGCTCAAGGAACATTTTGAAAGTACTTAGAGTGGTATACTTCTAAGCGTACTATAGATTCAGAATAATGCAACGATAGTTGAACTGAGACCCAAACTTGACTGTTAGAGGGAAACCGTAGGCAACTCGAAGAATCGGGTAAATACAGGAGGTTTATTGAGGTCTCTAATTTGGAACTCAATCTAACAATACAACTTACACAACGAATACAGTAATATACGGGTCCTTGAGACACCCAATGTTTTCATTATTTTTTCTGTTCCACATATGTTCAATAGACTCCAGTACATCATATGAATGCCTGAACAAAGTTTAGCCAATACCAGCCAGGAAATGGGAGAAAAGTCGGTTTTGTTTGGCAGTGTTTTAGTGTATCACTCGTTGAGACACCACACTTCAGCCCATAACTTTGGCAACATTCAGAATTTTCTGGAACTAAGTGGCTAGGAGGCAATGTGTGTCTGTTTGCAATATCTGGTATACAAAAATCTCAAAAATCTGA